TATGTGGGGGGGCACATCATCTACAAAATACTTATACAAAATCCAGAACTACAACCTCATAGGCTTTTCTATCTGATCTTTGGGGGGTGGGTTAAATGACAGGGGAGAGGTCACAGGTCCTATGGTCACATCGTACAAAGATCATCACACGTGACTGAGTCTAATATTATCGGAAAGATGAAATGCAAAGAGCCACAAGGCTGACGGATGTGAGCCTCTGCCACGATGCTGCGGCTGCCCTGCACTCCGGCGGAAAAGCACTGAGACAAAACACATCAGGTTTGTTAAGGAATTTAAATAATTCCCCAAAGCGCCAGACCCCGTTACCCTGACGACTAGCAGGCAGACACACCCACTCATGCTAAAAGTTAGCAAGTAGCTCCAGCAAGCCGACGGAGCCCCCGTCCCACTGTGCGGTCGCTGGAGATAAGCGGCAAACAGATCTTCAGCTAGAGACTTTGATAAAATCGTGCGACGAAAAAAAATTGGCAGGAATTTTTTATTTTTTTTCCTTTTGCCGGACCAACCACCGAGGGCATCCCTGTGACAGGGCCGAGGCCCCGATAGCAGGCCCCCGCTTAGACTCAAATCCGCAAACAAAGCAGGTGAACATGAGGTGGGTTCGGTCTAAGTTTGGCACCGGTGGGGGGTGGGGGTTCGTATGCAGCACAGTGCAGAGTGGGAGCACGAGGCCCGGAAGCAGAGCCTTCGGCGTGTCTGGAATCTCGGCGCACAAAACGGCAATGGTCCACTTCCCCGTTAGCTGGTCCGGGTGCCAGCAGGTCGGGTCACGGTGAGCAGCAGGGACCGGGATCAGGCGACCCCGACAGGGGCGGTGCCACATCACTCACCCCCAGTACCCCCCGCCCCACCCCCTCCCGAATGGGGGGGGGTGGTGCGGCAGCCCGCTGCAGCAGTGGCAGGGAGCTGCCTAAGTGGGCACTAGGCAAGCTGTCGGCCATTTGGCCTGGAACGCGGCGGCCCACCCGAGTGCCGTTCGCAGCACCCTGCGGTGCGGCGCCATCCGCAGCCAGGAATGACCAAATGCCGGGGCTCCTGCGATGAGTCAGGCTGCTGGCGCCCGGCGCTCATCAACACCAGGCTCGCCATGCCGGCGCCGACGCTCGGACAGCGACAGCACGCGTTCTGGGAGCCGTCCCCGCGCAACCTGTGCGTCCGCGCCACCGGGGGCCGGTCGGGGGAGGGGGGGGGGAAGGGTGGCCGACCGGGTGTCCGGAGAACGCCGCGTAACACCACAGAATGTAGCCAAAGAAATCCTCATCTTTCAAACGGCCGGAGGGCGCCAGCAGACAAAGAGGCGAAGCACAGCCGTGTTCCCGTGTGCAACAGTCCTGCCGCACGGCCAGCAGCCACTCTGTTGTCACGGCGATCCGTCACTTTACACCGGAAAAGTTGGGGAGCCGTGCCGGCTTCAGAACATTTACACGTCGCTTTCACTTTCTTTTTTTTTTTTTTTTTTAAATACCACTGCATCTAGCCTTTTGAAAAATAGTCAAATATTCAATATTCAAGTATTTCATTGTAGAGTGAAAAATCATGACATAATTGACTGATATTTACAGAAGCAAAAGTACACGTTGCAATAAAAATCAATATTCAGAAATGATATTTTGATAAAATACAAGAATGATCACCTCTAAGTCAGTACAAGTAAATACCAACTAATGAATGAAATATTCATCCATCCATCCATATTAAGTTAATCAGGTAATTTATACTTTGAAAAGGGTAATGAGCACATCGTCCTTAATCTCAGTCTCAATTTTAGTCTTAATTCTTAGAAATTGCAGTTTATATATATATATTATATTAGTTTTAAGGTCAATTTTACAAACTCAGACAAAATTAGTTTCCTTTATCGCAGTCACACACAGAGGGCATGTTCTGGGACAGACAACACACTGATAAATTCCCACAGTGGGGAAAAAGTGTGTTTATCAGATATTTTCACATGTGCCGGAGGGGGGTTAGCATTCTTGTTTAATAGAAGCAAATGGGACCCGTAAACTTGTCACCGAACAAACAGCGTGATTTGACGAGAGACAAACATACACCCTCAGAGGGTTTTATCACACTTCCAGAGATATTTTCTTCTCTCAGAAAATCACCTTATGCTCAAATTATAAGTAGATATGGAACGAGTACACTCAAAATTTTACTCTGGCAATCTGACAGACTACATATGGATTTAAAAAAAACAAATTAAAAAAAAAAAAAAAAACCCACAACATAGGTTCTTGAAACTCTTTGGATCCATCACACAATTCGTGTATAAAAATATTCTAAGAAAAATAGTTTTTCCATAAAGACACAAACGCCTCCTTTGAAAATAGCACTGCTTGTATTTACGGTTTATTAGCAGCTGTCCTGCTCTTCGTAAACTGGCGAGTTAAACAGCAGAGGGAGTGTCTGTCATGTCCTCTTCAAGCGACCAGGTGCCGCACTGTCGGTGCACGCCCAGGACAGGCCTGCTGCAGAATCGAAGCGGAGCGAAAAGGACCGTACACACCACGGCAACATCATACTCACCGTTTTTTTTGTTCTGTGAGATTTTTATTACATAAAACTACTAATATCGGATTATTTTTCGCACATACTGCTATTACCACAAAGCAGAAAGGAAACGCTATATGCTAAGATTCACCACTGAATCAGTATGCAACCAGGTTCAAACGGGTTAGAACCGGTTTACTGACCGGGGGTAGGGTGGGGTGGGGGCAGCTTCAGATTGGTACAAAATGGAGGTTTCTTGGGCTCAGAGTAACTTACTAATAAACCCTAAAGTGCTGAAAGCTCAAACCTGCACAGATATCTGGCATTGTTTACAGCACGATTGGCGTAGCTAAGCTGCAGGGGTTAGGGGTGTAGCTTTAAGGCCAGGCCTGCTGCACAAGCGCCTCCTAGTGGTGGCCTGTCAGACTGTCACACGAGGGCTGCATCTCATGTGCGTGAACAGAGGGTGTGGAACAAGCACGGCCGGCCTGGTGGCGGGGGGGGGCAGCTCACAGAGGAGTTCAGGTGTGGTGTTAGTGTTGGGGGGGGGGGGGGGTTATCCCCACAGGCATGGAGCTGAACGCCACATCGACTCGGTCACCCACAGCAGTGGGGCCCAGTCCCTCTCCTCTCACCCCATCCTCACCGCCCGCTAAAGAGAGGGAATACAGGAAAAGAGGAGATAGACCCCCTTCCCCCTCCCCAACAGAGCTCAGTGTATTATTTACCCTCTGCATACTTCTCCGTCGGTCCTATCGCTTTTCAGGATCTCCCCCTCTCCCCCCGCTCCCTCCCTCCCTCATCCCCCCCGCCCTTGTTCCCTCCCACCCTTTTTCCTTTAACTAAACTGGCTCTGGCTCCCTCCATCTGCTCCCCCCTTCCTTCAGCAGTCCCGCACCTGTTCACACCTCCTCTCCTGTTGGACCGCGTTGAGCGTCTCCTCCGCTGCCAGGCCGTCCTGGCTCCCGCCACCTCTCTGTCATTCAATCCATCTGTCAGAAGTGAACTTTGTTTACTGCCAGCTTCTGCTTTCTTCTTCAAGAAGCACGAGCCCCCCTCAAGGTCACCGGCGAAGGCGGACCGCAGCCGCCAGCAATTTGCAGAGAGGCCCCGCCCCCTCCAGTGTACATTCTCGCACAAAAACG